AGGCCATAAGGAAGCATCAGTATCGCTGTTTTGAGTGTAAGAAGTGGAGAGCCAAGCCTGTTTCACCGAAGATGTCTGATCTCCCTGCTACCCGCTTGCGATTAAATCAGACGCCATTCTGGTCCACAGGAATTGACTGTTTTGGCCCTTTCACTATAAAGATACAGTAGGTAGGAGACAAGAGAAACGGTGGGGAATTATATTTAAATGCCTTACGACCCGCTGCATTCACCTCGACCTTCTCACTGGTATGGACACTGACTCCTTTCTCATGGCTCTGCGCAGATTTATTGCTTGAAGAGGAAAACCTTTTGAAATACTGAGTGATCAGGGCACCAATTTCAGAGGAGACAGAGAGCTGCAGGAGGCATTCAAAGTGATGGAGCCACGACTGCAGGAGAAGCTCAGTGAACAGAGCATCATTTTCCACTTCAACCCTCCGCATGCTCCACATTTTGGGGGAGCCTGGGAACGGGAGATCCGTTCAGTCAAATCTGCACTTCAAGTTGCTCTCAAAGGTCAAGCGGTGCCAGAGGATTTGTTGCTTACTGTTCTTATTGAAGTAGAGGGCATACTTAATTCCAAGCCACTGGGATACGTTTCCTCGGATATTGCAGATGTTGATCCAATCACGCCAAATATGTTGCTCATGGGGCGGCGCGATGCTTCCCTTCCCCAGGCAGTTTATGGCACCAGAGAAGAACTTGGAAGGCGGAAATGGCGTCACAGCCAAGTCATAGCGGACCAGTTCTGGACTCAGTTCATTCAGCGCTACCTGCCTGGACTGCAGCCTCACCAGAAGTGGAACCAGACTACTCCACCTTTGAAAGTGGGACAGACTGTCATGGTGGTGGACTATCAGCTCCCACGGGCTTCCTGGCCCGTAGGACAGGTAACACATGTGTTAATACATACATAATTGCTATTGTATACATAATACAATATACACCAAATCACAAGGGGGTGGCTGTAGCTCAGGAGGTAGAGCAGGTACCCTACTGATCGGAAGGTTGGTGGTTCGATCCCTGGCTCCTCCAGGCTGCATGTCAAGTATCCTTGGGCAAGATACTAACCCCAAGTTACTTTCTGATGCATCTGTCAGCGTATGAATGTGTGACTGTAGTTAGAAAGCACTATGTATAAAGAAAGTGCTTGCGAGATTGGGTGAATATGGCATGTTATATACAGTGCTTTGAGTACTCCGGGAGAGTAGAAAAGCGCTATATAAGAATCAGCCCCTTTACCATATACAGTATGTGAATTTAATTAATTCATAACATATCGTTTTAACATATTAAAACAAAATATATGATTCACAGTTTAAATTTCATTTTCTGAAAAATATCCAACAGTGTATCTGTGAAAATGTGAAGCTATTGCCTTAAACACTATCTTCTATTAGGGTAAAAAAAAACTGTGGATAAAAAAAATCCACACAAAACTGGCATTTCGGGCATTTTGAAAATTTACAGAATTTGGTGCCCAATGTTTAATGTATTTGTTTTTTTGTTTTTTAAGTCATCCTTTTTACATCGCATTTTTAAAATGACACAACTGTAACCGTAATTTGGACTGTACCATTAATCCCAGAGGAAGAGAAAAGTATTCACAGTGCTTTGCTTCCTCCACAATGTGTTATGTTACAGCCTTATTGTAAAATGTAAATGTAAATTCATTTTTCAATTCAAAATTCTACATACATTATCCAATAACAACAAAGTGGAAAAAGTTTGCTTAAAATTCAGAAGTGTAATTCTTGCATGACACCAAAAACTGAGCTCAGTTGCACCCTGACACACACCTGTCTATATAAGGTCCCTTTGATGACAGTGCAAGAAAGGTCAGAGGAGTTGTCTGTAGATTTTCAAGACAGGACTGTATCAAGTCACAGAACTTGGGGTGGGGGTATAGAAAAATGTCTGCAGCACTGAAGATCCCAATCAGCACAGTGACCGCCATCATCCATAATAGGAAGATTTTGAAACACCGGGACTGTTAGCTACTTGGCCAGTCTGAGCAAGTTGGGATAGAAGGAGTATCATTTCTGCAGCACTTCACCGATCAAGCCTGTATGGTAGAGCAGCCAGATGGAAATCATTCCTCATGACAGGTCTCTCTTAAACAAAGATTTAACTTTTTGGCCTGAATCCCGTGTGTCATGGAAAGCAGGCACTGCTCACCACCTGGCTAATACCATCCCTACAGTGAAGCATCGTGGTGTCAGCATCAGCAGCAGAACTGGGAGATTAGTCAGGGTTGAGGAAAAAATGACAGCAGCAATCTGCAGAGACATCCTTGATGACGGCCTCCTTCAAAGTGCTCTGGCTTTTGAAATGTGGCAAAGGTTTATCTTCAACAGGATAATAACCCTAAGCACACAGCTGCCAGACACTGGCGCCACCGGGCCCTCTGACCACCACCATTTCATATACCTCCAACAGCTTCCTATCTGACACAGTTGGCTAATTTGGCTAATAGTGGCCATAGTGATGTTTTCTGCTTAAATTTATGAATGTTTATTTATAGTGAGCATCAGCATCAGCTTCCTTACAATATAAACAGTAAATTCATCTGAAAGACATTATGTGCAGTTAGCCTCAAGCCAAGTCCTGACATCTCAATCTTCTCTCAGGATGGGTAACAAGTGTGACCCTTTGACTGATTAAAGGGCTATACCTCAGCTTCGGTTTGCAAAAATCTAATAATCTAACAGATTATACTATACTTAGTTTATAAGGTGGCTCTGAACACAGTGTAGGATGAGCAGAGATAATTCAACTACATTGAAAAAAACACATTGTCTTAGAGATAATTATGAGGTTTTACAGAATCAAAATAAAGCAGTGATAGTGCATCCAGTAGCAATTTATATCTCTCTACACAAGTGGATTTTTTTAACATGACATTTTTCATAACAACCACTTTAATTCACTATTATACCGAATTACATATATTGTGTAATGTATTGAAATGATAGGAACAGGATCTTCTAATATTCTCAAAATTCCAAGAATATCACAAAATAAGTTTTGCATTTTTTATGCAAACAAAAAAAACATTTTTATGAGGAAGGTATATGAGCAAAACATATTCTTTTAAGACATTTGTAAAATCATGGAAAATACTAGCCAAAAATGTCCTCCTGATAAAACTGAAAAGAATTACAAACTGCTTCACAAGGAAGTAACCATTACCCTACTGCAGACTTTTGTCAGTATGAATGGAAAATGGTTATGATCTGAAATTATATGCTTAATGAAAAATACTGCTAAATTACTCTTTCTCGTTTGGCTCTCGGCGAAGGCAGTTGCACTTTTCTCCTCTCCTCCTTCCCCTTATCTTCCCTGCTTAGCCTCTTGTGTCCTTGTCTTGTCTCATGTGTATTACTTTCCCTGGAACACTCTCTCACAGTCTGTTCTCTAAAACCTAAAAGAGAATTATGGATTTGATCAACTGGTCTCTGAATGCTATTGACACCCTTTTCTCAACGAGAAGTCTGGGCTTGGGAGAGCCCGAGTGCCCTGTAGGGACTTTCCCTGCCGGATACACGATGGACGGGTGGCAGAAATGGAGGATCGTGTGCCTGGCGGGACTGTCGATCGAGGACGCTGAAGATATCTACCTATTCGGAACCATGATAACAGGGTTCTTGCTGATCGGAGCTGGCTTGGCCCTGGCTTATCGGAGAATTAAGAAAGCGGAACCAGCTGTTCAAACCCCCCCAAGGCTGCCCACTGGGATTGAAACGATGGGACGAGGCGCGACTTCTCAGAAAGAGCTCACTGAATGCAGCATGGTTAAGACCTTGGAGAAGCTTACGGCTGCCGTGAATACTCAGAATAACACCTCTGAGCGAAAGTTGGATTACATCGTGGAGCAGCTCACTGCAGTCGTGAGTTCTCAGAATCGGCTCTCTGAGCACAAGAATGACAAGACCATGGAGTGCAAGTTTGACAACATCATGGAGAAGCTCGCGGCTCTCCAACGGGAGAGTGAGAGACCAGTGTTGGAGTGTTAAAGAACAGCTTTAAAATTCTCATGAGTTGTTCGCATAAAAGAAAAATCAACAACATCAACATGATAATGCGGATATCCCCTCGGCGCCAGCTGTGGGCTTAAGGCTGGAGCCGAACAAAAACTCCCTGATAACGACTGTGTTTTGACTGTTCCTTCCCATTATAAGGCCACCTGGGTTGGCTGGTAGACTGTTTACTTAGCCTGGTAGGGCGAAGGACACTGTCTCAGCTGAACTATGGACACGCACACACATACACTTACACTGATGAGCACTCACTCATCCCCCTTCCCCTTCCAATGCCTTCGATGCTTGTTGACTCCTGGGAACACGAGGCGGGTCTGGGCCCGCGCTGGAGAGACGGTGCAGTGGCAGGATGGCTGCTGTGTTGCCTGGGATTACTCCTCATCCCCTACCCAACCCTGTTGCTGGTCACGTGCTCTGTAATGTTGTACTGTGGACATTTATGTGCTTTCTGTGCAGAGGAGTTTTTTTGTTTCCTGTTCTCATGCTGTCCTCCTATAGCCCAGCATGAGTAGAGGTCTCTTTTTTCCTCTTGCATTTTCCCATTGTAGTGTACATTTCAGTGTTTTTTTTCTGTAATGCAACCGTTCTCTGACTTGTATCCCCATGTGATGTCTGTGTTGTGTGTGTAAGGTCGGGGGGCGGGTTCATTCCACTGCAGGGCAACATGCCACTGCATGTGGCAAATAAAATTTGAACTTGAACTTGAACTTGAAATTTAGCACCAGTGTGGAATTTGACAAACTTTTAGCTAGCCAGCTCTAGAATAGGCTTGGTACATTTGTAGTGGTGTTTTACTACTTTTTACCATTACACGTTAAAAGTGATGGTGTTGATTATTTAATGGAATATGTCATTCCCAACTATTTGTATGCATGTCCAATTTGGACAAGTGAATAACATACACATCTATCAAAAAACAAACAAACAACAACAAAAATAATACTGAGGTGACACTTACTTTTCACCAAAAAATCTCCTCCAGAAGTCAGCAGCATCAGCTTTGGTAATCCTGAACGTGTCTCCTTGGAATTGTCCTCCAGGGAAGATTGCCTTGATTTCTGCCAGCATATGACTGAAGATCAGAGACAGCTTGGTCAGGTTCCTCCTGCAGAGGCCAGAAAACAGGAAATAGTTCATGTAAAATTATAGCCTCACATGTTTGACAGACACCACATGGAAACTATTTGACCTGTACAAATATACTGTACATGTTCCTGACTTCTGATTTGTTGGTAATAGCTGGTCAAATCTGACATTTCGAACACTCTCTTAGACCAACATATGCTAGAACACAGTTTATAGATAATTTAATGTTGGATTTCCTTTAAAAATGTTAACTATAATATGAACTACATGAGCACATTAGAAAACAAACTGGCTTAAATAACGACTACAGAAGGATCTCTGTGCTATATCACACAACATATCACATCTATCACACACTAGATAAAACCGAACTTTAAAAAAAAAACAGACATATTATAACACTTAAGGATGTGTGGGCATAGGATGTGAGAACACATTTTTCTCAGGGTTAGGGTTAGGGATCTCATCATCTGATAATGATAAATGTGACAAATGCAGAGCCAGTGTCAAGTTTTATTTTGCACAGTTATTTATGCAGCCTAAAATCCAATAACATATTGGCACTTATTTTCTGAGTGTACAAAAAGGGTGATAATGTTAGTGCTTTGTAAAAGGAAAGTAAATTTGTTCTTATTCACAAAAACTAACCAGTATAGGCAGGTACATTTCCTTCTTTTGAAAGCAAAACCCAGACAATCATAAATGTGACATAGAAAGATTCATCAGTCAAATAAACCACTGACTTGTTGATCCAGAAGACCCTCTATGGCATAGGTGTCAAACTCTGGCCCGCGGGCCAAATTTGGCCCGCAAAGCCATACCAACTTACTATTAGAGCTGGCCTACTGGTATTATACAGCTAATATATATATTGTTTAGTATTAAGCTTTGCTTGTTCCATATTCAGTTTTCCAGCAAAACCTATTTGAGTCCATAAGAAAAGATTCATTCTTATATCTGGAGGAAGATTTTTTTTTTTAATAAATATTATTGTTAGCCCACGACTCCAGTTTTGAATTTTGGCCCACTGTGTATTTGAGTTTGACACCTCTGCTCTATGGAATGGATTCATGTCATTTGTTTTTGAATTACTGCATATGGACACTATCTACACATTGCAACAAGTTTTTTACACTTCCCAGGATGACTTAGAGCAAAGAAAACCTATGTGTGAGAAGCTGCTTCTTCAACAGAAAGATTGCACACTGTCACTTTGTTGCCTGCTACTATTACTTCCTATTAGACCCTGGTTAAAACCAACAGATGGCATAGCTATACTTTCAACTTTCAAATGGTCATAACCCCAAATGTCAATCAAAGAAAATCCTGTTTATTTGAACAATTATATTTGACGTTATATTCCATCTTTGCTATGAGGAAGGGCAAAAATGAAACTTCGTAACTTCCCAAACACTATCATAAGAGATTTAGCTTTACATGTGATTTTTTTCCCATCAGATGAGTTTTAATGTTGTTGTCTTGTACAATTCGCCATCACACACATATTATTTTATGATCAACAACTGATGACTATAATATGAACTGGTTGACAAAAATTGAAAATGGCAATGTCAAAATTTTATTTCAAACAAATAATCAAAGGACTTAAAAGAGTCACTAAAACAGTAGAACCCTAATTGATGTCTTACCAATAAAATGGGTCAGATGACAAACACATCATCTATTAACTGTAATGTAAACACAACATGCAAATATTAATTGGAATCCCCTTATAGAAATAGATAACCAGGATTTGTGTTGTGATTGCATTACTACTTTAAAGTGGACATAAAACACTACACATATTGGGGCTCTTTTTATCTAATTGCTATCATTTTAATTGATGCCCACTCATGGTAAATGATGGTAAACTGTTGTTATGTTATTCAGCCATGTTCAGAAACACTACAAATCCGTTATGCACAACGTGCATCACTCATACACTGCATCACACTTTTTGGATGTTAATTTGTCCTATTTAACCACAGTTTAGTGTTTTTCTTCATTGTCTGTTTGAAGTATAAAATGTAAGATTAACTTGATATCTGAGTGTCTCTTAGTCTCCTATATTAGCTAGTTAGTCTAGTTTTTTTTTTTTTTGGGGGGGGGG